TTATAATCCACGACCGAATCTCTTCTGTCATGTTATCAACGAAGTCCATGTCATCGCTCTTATGGACACTATGCCAGTGATTTTCCATCGAGTTATAGGCAACGCATTTGAAGTGGCACTGAGAGCAGGAGTAGCCGAGACCCAAATGACTCTTATAGTGTTCAATGGCTTCCCATTTGTCGTTTATAACGAAGCCTTCGTCGCAAAACACGCACAAAAACTTTGGCGGAATCTCCGATTCTTCTAATGGTTTGGCGATCATTGACTCGTTCAACGACTGAGAACACGGCTTAGCCGTCGATTTGCGCGCCACTGTCTGCTTCTTCGGCGAAAACACTTCTTCGATATCTTCATCGCCAGAGGAGAAAACAGGATCTGGTTGTGGGTTAGCGTCGCTCTCAACGTCTGATTGCATTGAATCGGATTCGTCGTTGAGTTGCATATCATCTGAATCTTCATTCTCTTCAAATTCCATGTCATTATTTGACTCCAATTTCTTGCGCTTAATATTCGAGGAATGTGTCGATCGATTGTGAACTCGGCTAAAAGGCTGACTCTCGGCGCTAGCAATTGACCGCTTTCTGCCCATTCGGTCGCTGCCGACTGGACCCAAATCAACATAATTAGTGTTGAGTATCTTCTGAGTGAGCGCTCCCTTCCCTCCCTTCGACACTAATCCAGTGCTCAAAGCAGTGCTCTTTCTGGCCGTTAACTTCTTAATACTCGCCTCATTTGTGAGTCCTATAGAAGACGTTTGTTCTACAGATATAATAAACGTATGGATGGATACGGATAGACTCGGATGCGATACTTTTGAGTGCTCTTTGATCGCATCGCGCGATCCAATGAAATGACAGTAACCGCACTTAAACGAAGAGTCGCTGTTATGTTCGGTGCGTAAGTGATTGACTCGATTGGTCTGATGAAAGGGAGCCGCGTGTGGACAGAGAACGCATTTATACATGTGTTTAAGCTTTTGGTCGGAAACGCCGGGTATAATGAGTTGGAAGTGATGCTGATTTTCAAACCGAGCTTTCAGTCCCCGCTTCGGAACCGGAGCCTCATTGACGAGATTCACGTAATCGTCGGACTCGTCTCTTCGCGGCACATAAGTGAAGGCCGGAGTCTTGGACTTGCCTTTAGGCGTCTGAACGCCAACTCTTTTAATCACTTTAAAAGAGGGAGTTCTTGTGGACGTTTCGTCATCGGAACCCGAATGTAAATCCCCGTAAATCATGCCGATGTCAATCACGTTCTCGGAAGTGATCTCATCGGTAGAGATTGTCGAAGGATTGTTTGGCGTTGAGTTGTGTTTGTTTTTGTGTTTGTTTTTACGTTTGTTCGGCACGTGTAATGTTCCGTATTTCTGAAGTTTATGGGCTCTATAGCCGGTTAGTAGTGGCGGGTCCTGTGGTTTAGGCGAGTCGTGGTCTACAAACTTTTTGGGCGATTTTTTATTCGTTGATTTATTGATAATATGATTAATATGTTGTATCGGAACTCTGTTCACAGGAGTGGATGTCAGAGGAATGGGAGTAATGGGTGTTATGGGACGGGAAAAATCCATATCAAATGTGTCGGGAATGGACGCGAATTGTGAGACATTAGGTGTGGCCACTGGCGGACGATATTCAGTGTATTCGTTATACGGTTTAGGAGGCCTTCTATTGCCGCCGAAGGGAAGCCTTCGTTTAGTTGGCAGTTGTCGCGGAGCCAAGAAATCGTCGGAAAGGCCCGGTATATCAGGCATGCATTCAGTGGTGCACTGAGTCTTAAACGGAACGGTCGCCGGTTTGGGACCAGTGTTTGCCTCGCACTCGACGTCCGAATCGCTAGTATCGCTGCTGTCATCGTCTGAGACGACGGCCACCGCATCTGATTCGTCACTAATCTCGTCGTTCAAGGCATAGATATCTTCCAACTCTTTATTATAGACACTGATTGCGAAGTCGGGATGTCTTTCATGACAATGAATCAATACATTCACCATTTGTTTGTCATTAAAATCACAGTAAAGACAGTAAGACTTATCGTCGTCTAAAAGTGTGTCCAAATCGGGTGACAATTTCGAGATCCAAGACAACGGTTCCACTATTGAACCGGTGTCGATGTCTTTACAGACAATTATCTTACAAATGTCTTCATTTAGCTCTTCCAACGAATCAATCTTAAGCTTAGAGTTGTGTTCAGACCTTAGATTGAGATAAAAACATAATATAAGTGTCAATTCAATTGATAATAAAAACACAAATAAATACCAGATGTGAGTATGTCTTGAGATCTGATGCATCTGAATGTGGCCGCAAGTGATGGCCCGAAACAGACATCGATTGCATTGATAGACACGCTTTCCATGGGTTTGAATCATATGATCGATGAGTGACTGACAATCTGTGGTCTCAAAGACATCCACTTCGAGCTCGACGTCGGCTCCGGAGTCACCGCTTCGGAGACGACTCTCGAGAAGACAATAAATACAGCAAACCTTTTGGTGACAGCGCTGTAAGTGTTGCTCAAACTCTTTGGCGTCGTTAGTGGCGAAGAAGCACTCATTGGTGCCATTGTTGTGGTCATCGGTGGCCGCGTTTGGACAGCATTTGAAGAATTTAGACAATTGTCGCTCCCTTTTCATCAACTGATCCTTCGATTGGTAGCCATAAACAGGTATTTGTTTGTCAAACACAATGTTAGTGGCGATCGCGTCGAAGGACTGGTCGCTGGCCTGCAGTGAGTGGTCCATCGGATCCAGTGATCAGTGGTGTGAATGGTGTGAGCGATGGCACCAAACGGTGATATCAAGTGATTTTGTGGCAAACATTTAAACCAAAAGCCAATCAAAGCTATTATAAAGTGACGAAACTTTGGACGCTTTACAACACAGAGCACAACAATTATGTGCGCTATTTGTACGACACTTTCACACATGACGTACACATTGTTTACATTATTCACAACCCTTTGATTGACAATCTATGGGACAATACGTGAACTTCATTGCCCCCTATTGTCCACTCGCTTACCATTTATGCGTTACGTTATATATTTGTATTTTATATTTTATTATTTATTATTAATCGACTTTTTAATTGTTTTACAATTTATTCATTCATTAAATTAACTAAAACTAAACGAATGAATAAATTATTGAAATTAAAATCTATGCAAAAGAAAATATAATTTAATAAATGTTTAAATAGGAGACAAATGTATGACAAAAAGTGTGTGCACTTTGAGTGAGTGTTGACGTAATGTATGTCACAAATGATGTAATAATTGTTGATTGAAAACAATTGCGTCAAAGAGTGAGTGAATGACTGAAAAGAAACCAAAGATTTGTGCGAAAAATAGCGAAACAAAAAGACGCGAAATATTTGTTGTATTTTATCATAACTTATAAACAATTGATTAATTAATCAATGATTGAATCGATTGAAGCCATGCGTTGACAACGAGTCGAGCCATCGGTTGAAGCGCTCATTGATTGGCGAAAGACATCACTCATAGAGAAGACAAGACATCGCATCGATGGGCAACTCATTGGTGGGTTCGGCCCCTCAGGCCATACACCCGATAGAGTACTACCTGTCGGACGTGGCGGCGGACTTCCAGTTGGTGTGCTCTCTGGGGTCGACGCGGTTCCTGAAAGTGGCCAAATGTGTTCACTATGAGGGCGATTGTGTGGTGAAAGTGCTGGCCGTTGAGGACCCGTCCCTCCCGTTGGCCGCACACAAGCAGCGCATCGAACACCTGTCGTCGCTAACCGTCCGCAATGTGTCGATCGCCGCCTTTCATCGCGTCCTAATCCACCCCTCGTTCGCACTGATCGCCCGACAGTACGTCCGCTACTCTCTGTACGACCGGCTGTCCACTCGACCCTTCCTCACGCCTCTGGAGAAGTGTTGGCTCGCGTATCAACTGATCCGATGCGTCGAGTGGTGTCATCGCAACCGTATATATCACGGAGACATCAAACTTGAGAACATTCTCATCACTTCTAGTCTATGGCTTGTGATCACCGATTTGGCCACTTATAAGCCCGTCCTCTTGCCTCACGTGAGTGTCCGCACAAATCTATCGCTCTTTTTCTCTCTTAATGTGTTTTTGATATATTTGTCGAAATGTATTGAATCCACAATTAGTTTGCAATTTATTTGTTTTAATGTTTAAAATTGATTTCAAACCCATGTATTGTGCGATAACTAGATTTTCAATGTGTTGTGTGAAAGAGGGAGAGATAAATGGTTTCATTGTCTGTTTAAATGTAATTTAATTGTATTTATGATTGCATTTTGTTGCGCGAAAGGAGTGTTTGCTTTAAGATCTCTGCGATTGTCAAATGCTATTCAATATACAGTTATACTGTATTAACACAAATGGGTTGAGCCTTGAATTGATATGAATTTTTAGTTTTGAATT